TATTTTGTTTATTTTGCTTATCTGTTTTGCCCCTTTTCTTATCTAAATATGCTTTGTATGTTGTTGTTTAGGTTAGTTATTATTGTTTTATTTTATTGTAGAGCCTCTAGTCCTTCTAAACAAGTCTCTGATAGCTCCTTTGTTTCACCCCCCACACATGCAGAAACTTTGCCGGGTTTAACTGGTGTTTTTAGAGATGCAATTTCTCTCTTTATTACTCAACGCCTGGGTCTTCCTCCATTGAACTCAAATTTTAATAAACCCTTGGCGATATATTATGCCTTCAATTTACCCTACCACGTTCGGAAATCTGTTCCTATTATTCTTTTTACCCAGTGTACTAGAAGACCAGTTCTGAAAGTGCTTAGTCGGACACTTATTTTACTTCTTCTTTGTTCCTCTGGTGATGTAGAGTTAAACCCAGGTCCTATAGTCCCCAGTATTTCACCTATTTCCCAGGCGCTTTCATTTGTTGACTTTTGTAACCGGAAAAACCTTGGTTTCTTGCATGTCAACATCAGAAGCCTTCTTCCTAAGTTTGATTTATTAACTGCTTTAGTACATTCAACTAACCCTGATGTCCTAGCAGTGTCTGAATCGTGGCTCAGGAAAGCCATTAAAAATTCCGAAATTTCTATTTCTAACTACAACATTTTTCGCCAAGATAGAGCTACCAAGGGAGGCGGAGTTGTAATCTATTGCAGAGATAATTTACAGAGTTCTGTCATACTGTCCAGGTCTGTGCCCAAACAGTTTGAGCTTCTACTCTTAAAAATCCATCTTTCAAGAAATAAGTCGCTCACTATCGCTGCCTGTTACAGACCTCCCTCAGCTCCCAGCCATGCTCTGGATGCTATATGTGAATTGATTGCCCCTCATCTTTCTTCAGAGTTTGTGTTGTTAGGGGATTTAAACTGGGATATGCTTAATGCACCGGCTGCTTTTCAATCTAGGATAGATGCTCTCAATCTTACACAAATCATTAATGAACCTACCAGGTACAACCCTAAATCCGTAAATGCGGGTACTATCATTGATATAATTCTGACTAACTTGCCCCACAATTATTCCTCATCTGTTTTCGACCAGGATCTGAGCGATCATTGCTTAATTGCTTGTGTTCGAAATGGGTTTGCGGTCAATCGATCACCCCTTTTTATTGTCAAACGTTCCTTAAAATATTTCTGTGAACAGGCTTTTTTATTCGAATTGTCTCGGGTGTCCTGGAAGGATATTGACCTTATTCCGTCAGTAGATGATGCCTGGTTTTTCTTTAAAAGTACTTTTCTCACCATATTAAATAAGCATGCTCCTTTTAAAAAACTGAGAGTTAAGAATAGATTTAGCCCTTGGTTCACCCCAGATTTAGCTGCTCTTAACCAACATAAAAATATCTTGTGGCGCACTGCATTAGCATCAAAAAGTCCCCGCGATATGCAACTTTTTAGGGAAACAAGGAACAAATATACACAATCTGTTAGAAAAGCAAAGGCTAGTTTTTTTAAACAGAAACTTTCATCCTGTGGTACAAATTCCAAAAAGTTCTGGGACACTATAAAGCTTATGGAGAATAAGAGTATCTCCTCCCAGTTGCCCACTGCATTAAAGCTTGGAAATACTGTTACCACAGATAAATTCATGATAATCCAAAATTTTAATACGCATTTTGCTGTGGCTGGTCATGCTTTTCATTTGGCTACTCCTATTTCGGAGAGCTTTGTACCTCCCGCAGCAACTTGTTCAAGCCTTCCTAATTTTTCCTTTACACAAATCCGGACAGCTGATGTTTTGAAAGAGCTGTTAAATCTGGATCCTTACAAATCTGCTGGTCTTGACAATCTGGACCCTTTCTTTTTAAAACTATCAGCTAAAATTATTGCAACTCCGATTACCAGCCTATTCAACCTTTCTTTTGTATCGTGTGAGATCCCTAGAGACTGGAAAGCTGCTGCGATCATCCCCCTCTTCAAAGGGGGAGACACTCTAGATCCAAATTGTTATAGACCTATATCTATCCTGCCATGTCTTGCTAAAATCTTCGAATTCCAAGTTAATAAACAGATCACTGAATATTTTGAATCCCATCGTATTTTCTCTGCTATGCAATCTGGTTTTCGAGTTGGTCATGGATGCACTTCAGCTACGCTTAAGGTTCTTAACGATATCATAACCTCTATTGATAGGAGACATTACTGTGCTGCCATCTTCATAGATCTTGCCAAGGCGTTTGACTCTGTCAACCATCGTATTCTTATTGGCAGACTCAACAGCCTTGGTTTTTCAAGTGACTGCCTTGCTTGGTTCTCCAACTATTTCTTAGATAGAGTTCAGTGTGTAAAATCGGAGGGTCTGCTGTCCAGTCCTCTTGCAGTCTCTATGGGGGTGCCCCAGGGATCAATTCTTGGGCCGACCCTATTTTCTATATACATTAATGATATTGCTAGTGCTGCTGGTGATTCGCTGATACATTTGTATGCAGACGACACCATTTTATATACATCCGGCCCCTCTTTGGATTGTGTGTTAATTAATCTTCAAACTAGTTTCAACGCCATACAATACGCTTTTCGTGATCTCCATCTGCTTTTAAATCCTAGTAAGACTAAATGCATGCTTTTTAATCGAACATTGCCCATAGCTGCTAACCAAACTACCATCACTACCCTTGAAGGGGTTGATTTAGAATATGTGGACTCTTACAAATATCTAGGAGTGTGGTTAGACTGTAAACTTAATTTTCAGACTCACATTAACTATCTCCAATCTAAAATTAAATCTAGAATCGGCTTTCTTTTTCGTCACAAAGCATCCTTCACCTATGCTGCCAAATATGCCCTTGTAAAACTTACCATCCTACCAATCTTTGATTTTGGCGATGTTATTTACAAAACTGCCTCCAAAACTCTACTTAGTAAACTGGATGTAATTTATCATAGTGCTATCCGTTTTGTTACTAAAGCTCCATACACTGCTCATCACTGTAATCTTTATTCTCTTATTGGCTGGCCCTCACTATATACTCGCCGCCAAATTCATTGGCTCCAAGTCATCTATAAGTCCTTATTAGGCATATCTCCGCCCTATCTCAGCTCCCTGGTAACCATAGCGACATCCACACGTAGTATGCGCTCTAGCAGGTATATTTTACTGGCTGTCCCCAAAGCTTATACTTCTTTTGGTCGCCATTCCTTCCAGTTCTCTGCTGCTTATGACTGGAATGAATTGCAAAAATCCTTGAAACTAGAGGTTCCTATTTCCCTTACCAATTTTAAGCATCAGCTGTCAAAGCTGTTTATTGATCATTGCACTTGTTTATAATATATTCTGCTTTTGTACATGGATTGGTTTATTGATTGTATGTTTATTTATTTCTATGTGTTTCTCTGTGTTGTTGTTATCGTCGCACTGTTTCGCTTTGTCTTGGCCAGGTCGCAGTTGTAAATGAGAACTTGTTCTCAACTGATTTTACCTGGTTAAACAAAGGTTAAATAAATAAAAAAATAAATATAAAGGCAACTATCTGTTTTCATATAGAAAGTCTTATTTATTTTGATTTTATTTATATTGTGTATCTGGAAAAGTTAAGCAGGATTTCTGCGGGTCTTAAAAAGGGCTTAAATCAAATGTTGAAAGTCGTAAATTCACAAAGTCATGGCATTAAATGTTGCATGCATTGAAAAAAAAGGAATATCTTCCTCAGTATTTTTGTTATTATAGTTTTCCAATACAGATATCTAAACATCTTTAGATCAAGATACATCTACTTGAGATGCAAATGTTAAATTAAGTCATGGCAATTTTTGCAAAATTGGAAGATATTTGTTCTTGTTTTAATCATAAACTTCCTTTTACATGATGAAGAATATAACTTTTTTGCTGTGATCAGAAGGTACTGTAAAAGTTACTCCTTATTCTATTGGTTGGGAGCACAGCAATTCAAGCTTTTTTTGTAAGATGAATTAGGATGTAATGGATAACTGTTGGAAGTTGTATTGCTAATAGAACTCATTGTGTTTCTGCACAAACATGTACATAATATATATATATATATATATATATATATATATATATATATATATATATATATATATATATATTGATGTATATTGTGTTCCCTACAATTTATTCCTTAAATTTTCTTTACTTGGTTTTAAAAAGGTCTTTAAAAAGTCTTACATTTACCATCATAAAACCTGCACAAACCCTGGTTAAGTTTACAGAATTTTCTTTTTTACCTGCTATTAGATTAATGTTCGGTGTATACCTGAACAGAAACAATTTTAGTCAGAAAGTCAATTTTATTTGTATAGCACTTTTCACAATAAATGTAATTCCAAAGCAGCTATAATCAGTAAACATTAAAAATTGTTGCTTTTAAGTTCACAAGTGAAAATCACATTGTACAAATTCCTTTTCTCTCTCTAAAAAAACTGAAACTGAAACAGTCCTCACTAATTTGTGATAGAACTGAATGTAGTGAAATTTCAGTTTTTTTCCTTGTAGTCCTGTAATATTTCAATAGGTGGCGTTTCAGCTCAAAATAGGTCTTTTAAATCCTAAATGAAAACGGAGAATAATTTAATAGAAAATAGCATTTCTATGTACCGTATATGTTTGTGAGGTCGGTGTGTGTGTGTGTGTGTGTGTGTGTGTGTGTGTGGTTATGAGCTAAGCCAGAATTAGCAGTGATTTACTTCACCGATTTGGCAGCCTTTCTACTTCTGGCACATGATGGCACCCTTGTTCTATAAATACATCTAAGAGCACTCAACATGCAAGCTCAGTCTTCCTATTAATATACACTCGTTATTCAATCCTATAGCTACTTTAAGATGATTTTCAATAAGAAAAATTAATGAATCTTAAATGTTGCAGTGATGATTGTCACTATGGTTATGATAGCTTACATAAGACATGTTTATATTAACAACTGATCTCTAAAACATATCCTCAGAGGTGCTGATCTAGATTTAATCATATCTTAATTTTTCTCTCTTCAGATTGACCATATCAGCGGAGTGTCCCATGCAGTTGGAGGATTTCCCTATGGATGCTCATGCCTGCCCACTCAAATTTGGCAGCTGTAAGTCCATAATGTTTTATGTTAAATTCGGGAAAAAAGAACTGTACAGGTTTCATTGCCATTACAAAAAGATTTTAAAATAGCAGATTCCAAGAAATCATAACATAATCCCTCTGATTCTGAAGTGTGTATTCACGATTACATCCATTTGTTATTTGATTGATGTGAATAGCATCTTATATTCTTATTTAGATGAAAAAGATGCAAGTATAAAATCATGGAATACGGTTTATAGTTTTCATTGGTTGTCTTCGCACAACGTAGAACGGAGATGGTAACAGGAGCAACATTTTGTATATTTCATATGAAATTCCCTCTACAGGAGAAATTACGCTTTCTAGTATATTAGGTACCGAACACCTCTTTGCATTAGTTTTTCTCTCTGCATATTTTCTTAATACATTTTAGCATATTGAAATATTGAGTAATACAAATTGTGTACTAACTTGGCCCATTTTAGGCAGCTTGACAGACTGGTGTTTAAGGTATGTCCAGTTTAGTCTCATTATCACGTGGCATCCTGTCCAAGAGCAGGATTAAGATTATCACCTGGTTCTTGCAGAGAGGAGGGTAACTTGAGGACTGGATTAGTAGGAAGGTGTCCTGCCATCCCTCCTGCTCTTACGTACACATTGCACACATATAAAAGAAAGGCTTTTTGGTGCTAAGAAGCCAGGAATGACCTGAGATGAGCTCAGCTTTCTTTGATGTTTAGGGCATAACAGGATAGGGCTGTACACGGTGAGCTTTTGGGTTAGGATACTGCAGAAACCATGACAGACAGTGCTTAGGAGGGGCGATTGTGCATATCTGAATATTTGATTAATTGTACTGTCGTAGCTGCACAGTAAAATCCCTCATGATCTAAAGTTCTTTAGGTTTTGAAGACCTCTCATAAGCTTTTTGGCAGTGGTGTTAAACACAGATAAGAATACAGAAGAAGTCAATCTGGCCCGCGGGATGATTTGAATGTTTAAACATTTAAATTAGATCATGCTAAAAAGCTGTTATAGCTGGTAATTAATATTTCCATTGATACAATTTGTATGTGGATTTAATCTTGTGAAAGTTGCTCTTGAAATTCAATAGTTGCATAAGACCATGTATTTACGCTCTGCATGGGTACATCAAGGTTTATCAAATAAAAAATCGGCCAGCATAAGGTGACGTTTAATCTAATCTGGCCCGTGACCTAAAATGAGTCTGATGCCGTGCATTTGGACATCTCATAGGCTTCCCAATGCGATTGGATGGATTGTTAATTTAGAACATCAACATGGTTAGAAGTACAGTAAGGTATAAAATGTAATCTCACCAGCCTGCATGGTTTGACCTTGATGTATACAGACAACCCTTGAAACGAATGTTGAACCAGCCACACTCCATCAATTTTAAGGGATAGTTCACACAAAACTGAAAATTCTGTCATCATTTACTCACCCAGTTGTTCCAAACCTGTATTTTCTGCTGAACACAAAAGAAAATATTTTGAAGAATGTCTGTAACCAAACAGTGGATGGACCCCCTTTGACTTTCTATAGTATTTTCCATACTATGGAAGTCAATGCAATGGTGCCCATCAACTGTTTGGTTACCCATATTCTTCAAAATATCTTCTTTTGTGTTCAGCAGAAGAAAGGTATTCATACAGGTTTGGACAGAATTTTCATTTTTGGGTGAACTATCCCTTTGAGGTACTCCACTGTCTAAAAAACTTTTGTGGACCAAAACAAAAAAGAATAGAAAGAAAAATACCCTCTCCTTTTCATGGGCTGACTAGTATAGTGAAAATATTTTTCTAACAAGGCTTGGTAGTTAAAAAAATGTCTTATTGTCTGTTCATTTTTTTTTTCTGACCAATTCTTGTTTTGTTCTGACATTTCAGATCTTACTTATGGACAATAGTATGTCCAACAGCATTTACTTGTTTTCAATTTTTTCCCTCTTAATGATTTTTATAATATATTATTTCTTTCATCATAGAAACAAAAACTACCTTACTCACCATAAATATTTAAATGAAGGTTGAGCACGACTACCATAAATGAATAGTACGGTGTTAATAAACATGAACTATTCTCTATAGAAATCATTAGCTTTTATTATTTAGTCATTTTTGTTTAATCAGTCATTTCTCAGCATTTGTTAATTTTACATTCTACTTATATATAAAACACCCTGTGAGCTATCTCAAATGGTATTAATTATTCATTGTAAGGTGGTTATTGAAAATTTAGCCTTCATTAGGACTTGCATTCTTAGAGTTTAACACCATTTTCCCTGCGAGAGTTACTCGATATACAGGCGGAAGAGAATTAGTGATTTAACTTGTAAATCACACAACAAATGTGTTTACTTGAAGTATTGTGCTGTGTTATGTAAAGGGTTATATAAATTCTGTCTGCACTTAGCAGCTTTTGTTTGGCTGGTTGGATAACAGTGACAGACGCCTGATTTTAACTGTCATCTCAACCAAAATGCCTGAGAAAAGCAACGCTGCCCATATGAACGACAACAGTTAATGTGGAGCCTTTTGTTGAGGAATATTCTGCTCTTCAAAGAGACGCAGCAATCATTATTGTAGTTAATCTCCACAGACACAATGTACATCTCTGGCTATGGATATTATCCTTTACATGTAAGCACCTTGAGTGAATCCTGTACAAAGGCATGAATTCAGGATTAATGTATAGTCAGAGTAGCCTGGCTCCGCCCTCCTACGTACTTCCGCTCAATTTTTATTTTCCTTCAGTACTACGTCTGGGATTGTGCTGTATTCTTTGGTTTTCTCCCGTCAATTTTTTACCGGGCCAATCAGCGAACAGAGGGAGTGGCTGAGAATGATGACGTTGATGTCGTGCGCTAGTTTGAGTCGTCATACGTCACAACCAAATGTTAGCGATTGGTTATGGCAGATCCAGAGTGACTCTGGGCAGATCCAATAGTTTTAGACTTCAACAGAGTACCCGCCTTCAAGGAAGTTAACGCTTGTCAATGGAGCGATGCCAGACTCTATGTACAAATGAAATGTACTAGAGTCTGGTGGGACCAGGCTACAGTCAGAGGGTCATTCTCACAAAATAGCCCCTGATGTGAAGCTGAGGAGTCTTGTATCACCCTGAGAGGGTTTATTTTGCTGTAAAGATTGGCTGACTGTACATTATCCCACTTATTGCATGGCTGGACATGAAATAGTGGTTTCATGAAATGATTTTATTAGGTGAGATGAAAGAGACTGGGGAGTGTCTTGGAGCTCTGAACTCTGTACATGACCGTCTGACTGTAGATTAACCCACTTACAAATTAATAAATAGAGATTAATATTGGTTTGAATTAAAATGTCTATTATTTAGATTTTGGAGTGAAAACACAAGTACAACAATGTAGGATTTCTAGATGAACGGCCATACAGTCATAGAGTCATTGACAACAAACTCAATAGTTTCAGATATTTTTCTCTCTGTCTTTCCCTCCATATTCTTCATTCTGTATCTCTTTTTTTTTTACATTTACTTTCTGCCATGTCCATTAAGGTTTATTTGATGACGTTAGTAGCAATAAAATATATATTAAGTGCTTTCAGTACTGCAATACAGCCTTCAGGCTCTCGTGCCATCCATGCCAGATTCACCTCAAAAGATTATATACTGTAGACCAAAGATTACTGAGGGATAATTCAACCTTGTAAAGGTCCCCAATGGTGGGTCATAGTTTTGTTCAGATTAATCCAATATATCTCTTCCCAGAGAGTTTTGGAAGAGAAATAAGCTAAGACATAGGTCAGCAATAGAGGATGTACTGTATGAGGCTGGACTTGGACTACAAAATAACTTGTTGAGATCTAGGCCTATTTAAATCACCTTAGGGCAGCCAAGCCTCATAATCATAGTGTAAAGAAAGACAGACTTTAGGGACAGGTTGAAAGTTGCTGTGTTTGTAGGAAAGTTTTATTTTATTATTAATGCATACAAGTATATATTACTCATGCTACCGGGGGTAAAAAGTCGTTCTATAGAATTATCAATGTTAATTTAAGGCCACTGTTTCAGGCTAGTGGAAAATATCCTTGCTGAATCTTTGTCTTTCCTCAATGTACTCAGTAATGAATGTACTTTATCACATTAACAGCAAAAGATTATCATCATTATTTAATTTTGAATATTGATTTTAAATGCTGAAAGGCCTTGAAACTTACATTAAAAGCAAGAGTAGATTGTAAACGAGACGCACACAAACAAAATGAAAACCCTGACATTTAATATATTACAATTACAATGATAATTTAGAATTTAGATTAAAATAAGTTGTAAAAAACGTAACATCCTTGACCACAAATACAGATAAAACCCCACACACCTAAGCTGGTTTCACTATATTAATGGAGACATCTCATCAAGGGTCTCTGTGGGATTTTGACATGTTTCACTGTATTTGTGAGGACAAAACATTTTCCCAAAGATTTTGGCTTCTCAAGTATAGCTAAACCTTTATACGCACACATGTATTCTGTCAAGCCAATCTCACTAAACAATTTCTTTTAACTGGAAAGCATTTCAGTCATGTGTGAGTAAGAAGGTGATTCTGCAGGCTATTCACTCTGGGGGCTGTGGTGACCCTGTCTTAATGAAGAGCTACATTTGTTTTTGCTCAAGACTCAACCCTTGACCTATGAGAAATATTTTGTCCTCCGTTTGCTAGACCTTGTCACTTCCTTTGCTTTATCAAACACTGGGTGTCATTCACTAATAATCACGTGGATTATTTCAGATTTTTACGCACTTCTCACGAAAAATCTCTGCCTAATTCACAACACGTTAGTACACGCATGAATTTATTTTTAATCTCGTTCTAATGCTAGTGAATTTGGTGTGTTTTAAATGAGCGGCCGTGTGCACAAGGTTAGTAATTTGCATAAAACACACCCTAACCATCTCCAGATAAGGGTTTTCCACACAACATTTATAGCCTTTCATCGCTCTCTGCAGACTCGCTCTCGCTAGATCCCCGAGCAATGCCAAGTGTGTCATTCTCAAAACCAGTTCAAACACAATACACAACTTTTATACAAACCGAGATTACAGACCTCTCATTACCAGCTGTACACACGGGTAAATCTGCGTTATTCAGAGAAACCTTGCAGCTGAAGCTATGGCAGCTTTTCTTACTCTTTCACTGTATATGATGAAATATATTTAAGGATAAATTAAATTGTATTATTTATTAATTTTATAATATAATATAATTATAGTCATGTTAAAATAAAATAATTTCTTAAAGGTGACCTATAATTCAAAATTGAATTTACCTTGGTATAGTCAAATAACAAGAGTTCAGTGCATGGACATGACATAGAGTGAATCTCAAACTGGACTGTTTTCGCGTTCTCATTTAATTCACGTATATGAAAAACACCCCTGAAAAACGGTCGGTTCTCCACACAATACCGACTGTGACGCAATAGTCGGGATCATTAATATGTACGCCTCCAAATATTTGCATAATGCCAGCCCTCAATGCCAGGCGGAACTGCGCAGCCGAAGCATGGCAGTTGCTCAGTGTGGATGTACACATGAACACAAAAGTATTTTTTAGTTCCTTCATCTGAGCCTCTGAAGAAACAATGGGTTAATTTTATTTTCTCTGGAAATTTCCAAACATTTCACCGACTGTTTCCTCAACTTGGGCCAATACAGAGCTGGCCTCGGATCGAGCTACCAAGCAACACTTTCTGATGTGTAATTGTTCAAGTTCAGACAGGTAATCTTTCTCTCAAAATCGTTCAATACTGTTTATGCATCAGTAAGTCAAGCCAGTGACTAAAATATCAGCTTCACATCGTTTCTTTTAGTAGGATGAAAATAATCGTATTTAAATTGTGAACAAATTATATACAGAAAGCGATCAAAGAACAATCTTTCCACGCGAGTTTATCTGGACACTTGCCAAACTCGTTATGAAATCAATGACGCACGTTACTGCACAACGAAGCTCTTACTGTATTTACATCATCGTGTTTGCATTGGTGAAAGCAGAGAGAGTGCAGAAACTGCTTTGCAATGATAAGATCTTCATTCTCGCGATCAACACACTGTCATCTGCTCAATGCTCATCACGGCAACATTTTATGTGATGGGAATAGATCTAAATACTTAAAAAACATCTCACGATTCGTTAATCTCGATAGCTGTTATAGTAAAAACGTATAATAGCAGTAGTAAAAGTATTCGGGAGAGAGTTTCACATGTAATGCGTAGCTATTTCATATGCAAGCATGTCAGCCAATCACAGCAGTGGCCGCGGTTACACTGAATCCCACAGCAGACACGCCCCTTCAAACAGAGTGTTCAAATCAGAGGCTAAAAGCAGGCTAGGAAAAATGCCATTTATTTCTAAATTATGATTATTTTTTATCTAAAAAACATACTAACATTATAAGGGTAACCCAGGAAACATTATAAAAAAAAACAAAAAAAACATTCTAGGGCACCTTTAAGGCCGCACAGAGAAAGTGCTTTTTGCTTACGTGTGGTTTCTACATTTTTGTTTAAATTTAGAATAAATTTCAGTATGACCGTTTTTGGTTTGCTCGTGAAATCATTCCTATGCAGATTTCATGCACAAATGTGTGCGTACGCATGCTTAGAGCCAATCCGAAATCACCACTATACCCTCGAATAGGGCGTTATTATATATATTTTTACAACTTCAATCTCCTTCTTAATTCAATCCATAGGCAAAGTTTATAGTTTTCCATTTGAACTCGAACTGGTCCAGAGCTTATTAGGATCAGCTGATGTGCACTAAATTCAATCCAATTAGATCCACTTACAATCACCACCCATAATTAGTACCAATACTGTCTTCACACTCATTTGCTTCATCTCACCACCTGAACTTGCACCGAGCTTCAAATACCTTTCCTAAGAGAACTGATCTTTTTGATATACATAAAAGTCTCCAGTTTCTCATAAAGTGAAATTTCACACATAGTTGGTAAAGGTTTATACCAAATGCACAATAATGATGACAGCAGTAATGAAGGGAAAGGGAGATAACGCAGAACACAAGCATGATAACATACGTATTGAAGTAAATATGAAAATATTGAAAAAGCTTGTAGAGGAAGTAGCATTATAGCAACATACAAAAAATACCAGAGGAAGGTAGTTTAGCACAGAGAAATTTAGATAGATTGATAACGTTTTTATAAAAAAAAACAGTGAATTTTTGTGTAAACATTTGTACGTAAATCTACCCATTGATTTGAATGCAAAAATGTATAAATATTATAGAATTATGCTCATGTTTCATGAATAAACACCCCTGAGAGGGGTTTATACTTTATAACTTTTTACAGTAAACATTAAACATACATCTGTCCCAAAAGTGTGTTAACAATGTACAGTTTTTTTACAATTTGCTGTTCTTTAGAATAGAACATCATGACTTGCCAGTATTTTGCACCAGCTACCTAAATATGCTCTCTGTCCAAGTACTCCGTATTAACTTTAAAATCTCATAGGGCAGGTTCCCTACAGAGTCTTAATAGGTCATGTGTGGACTTGTCCTCAAGTGGACTGTCCATTCTGAGAAGTGTCTATGAGGATGGCCCAGAAGCTACTTGCCTAAAATGCCTTACATATAACATTACGTTATTACATTATTTCAAAATTCTAAAATCTTTTTTTCTGCAACCACCCAATTAAATATGGGACTTTTTGGGGGGTTAAAAAAACATTCAACTGTGTTTGAGTGCTTCCTAAAAGTAGGTTTTCTGATTCAGAGGAGCATCTGGTTGAGTATGTGTTAGTCATGATTTAGTCTGAAGATTGGTAGCAATATCGATATAGTAGTCAATTTTTGTACTTCGGATTAGTTTTCAGGAATTTGTTGGGGGTATCTAAGGGTACGTACTGTGTGTGTGTGTGTGTGTGTGTGTGTGTGTGTGTGTGTGTGTGTGTGTGTGTGTGTGTGTGTGTGTGTGTGTGTGTGTGTGGATGGTTGGCAGAATAATCTCTCAGTCTAGATGGTCAAAGTCAATCTTAATTGTGATGGAGACATCCGGCTTGAGTGGCAGGATTAATGTTTTGCTTCAAGATTGAATGTCAAGATGGAGGGAGGGGGCGAAAGTGAAAAAAATGGAGTGATATGAAAAGTCACTGTAAAGCTGCAGCTATTTTATGTGAAACAATCATCTACTGAAAATGTTTTCATATTTTGTTGAATCTGTTTTTAACATGTAATACTACTATTCCAACATACTACTACTAAAATACTATTATTTTAAAGTGTGTATACTGTATATATATATATATATATATATATATATATATACATATATACATATATGTATACACTTTAAAGAGAGAGAGAGAGAGCCTGTTTTTGAATTTAGTGGTCCTAGCTTTTTTGTAAAGGACAAACAATATGACACACTTTTAAAAAATATTCAACTAAGGCTGCGTTTACACTTGACATTAACATCACCGTGATCCGATCAAGCAGATCGGATCATAAGCCAATCAGGACACGGTGCATTTACACCTGTCCACATCAAGTGACTTCTGTATCTGGATAACAGATCAGATCTCGCATTCCCGCAAAAAAAAAAAAAAGGATGGCTCCGGTGCAAAGTCGACCTGAAGTTGTGGATTTTCTTTTTAAAAACAGTTTTCAGTCCGGGGACATTTTACAAATCTCGCAAAATGAGGAGGATGAAGAGGCTGCAAGTAATAATAATGTGGATAGATGCCGTAATGGAAACGATTCAGAGAAACGTATGGGTCCGAAAACGTTGCCAGCTGTGGTGGGAAAAATGCGCTTTCTTTACATAAAAAATGAATGGTTCTGCACCTTTCGGGTGCGAAGGTAAACATTTCAGTATATTTGCGATGTACTTCGCACTCGACGGTATCGCAAAACCACACAGCTCTCAGTTCCGGAGAGAGGAGGGGGAATAATGACAGTGGGCGGGGTTTTGTGTGACGTCCACCTGTGAATGCAGACACGATGGCTGGATTGCGCTTACATTACACTGAGATCCGATCACAATGCGTCCTCGACTACCTCCGAACCTGGACACGCTGATCGGATAACATTCCGATCAGAAGCGCGTTTACACTTGTCTTTTCAATGTGTATGTGGACAACATCCGGATACAGGTCGCATGTTAATGCCAAGTGTAAACGCAGCCACTTGCTATCTCTTCAAGTCATTTGAAGTGTTCCATCCTGTTGTCTTCAACTGAGGTGTAGGTGTCTCTTTTTTTAACCTGATGGTCTGATCCTATTATTCAACCCAGGTGCAGATGATTCAATTTATTACTCCCAGCTCTACACTTGGCAGAGTCAGCAAACATGCTCCCTGTTGATATATAAAGCAGATATTTTCCCATGATTGACAGGTGTAGTCACTGTACCTCCTTAATCTGAGAAATGAAACTTGCCTGCAACTGACAATGACTGTACAATCAAGAGTGACTAACATTTATGTAACCTTATTTAAACATGGTACTAAACAGATTACATTTAATTTAACTAAACTTCTAGCCACTTGCTGTGTCTGCTTAATAAGCCATTATCACTGTATAATCTAACTTTGTGGCTGGTATAAAGTGTAAACTACTGTGTCTTTTTACAGATGCCTACCCTATCTCAGAAGTTGTGTATAAGTGGACTAAAGGCCCTGGCAAATCTGTGGTAGTGGCAGAGGAAGGGTCACGTCTCAACCAATACCATTTGATTGGCCACACGGCTGGTACGGAAGATATCAGCACAAGTAGAGGTAAACCACTTTGACCCATTCATTGTAATGAGTGTCAGTTAGTCAATTGGTAAAAGATCTGTGAATCAACTTGGCAGTTAGGGCCGGGGTCCAAAACGTTTTGTAGTATCTCCCTTAATTGAGAAAATATAATGCTCATAAATAATTCTTATTGGCCACGAAATTTTTTTTAAAGAATTTGTTTTAATGAAAAAAATAAATAGTTACTTTTGTTATATTTGTGTTTATTTTTATGTTTATAGTTTTATACACAATTATTTTATTTAATTTTTAATAAATTATATATATATATTAGGGCTGTTAGTTATTAACGGCGTTAATGCAAACCCATTTTAACGGCGTACATTTTTTTATCGCGCAATTAACGGCCTTTTTGGCCTAGCAAACTTTGTAGTTTTTTTTTTCACATGCTTTTGCAACAGGCATGCGCCGAGGACCAAAGTTGCAAGCGGATCTAGCTAGACCGGAAACAAAACAACAGGCACGCCGCACACACTTGGCCAAATGTGTGCGAGACGCCGAAATGGATGCCAATAAGATTCTGAATGGAAAGTTTACTTTTAAAAAGTTGCCAAATGGTTCCATTGACAAGACCAAAGTGATCTGTGTGTTTTGTCGTTGTGAACTGAGCTATCGTCATCGCAGCACGTCCAGTCTGAAATACCACTTGATGGCCAAGCACACACACACAGCTGATGCGAATTCTCCGCCCCCTCGTCAATATTAGGACCTCATCAGTATTTCTTTCACCCTTTTATTGATGGACAGTGTTACATTGTGTGAGAGATTATTTGCTCCAAGTGAGAATGTTAGTGTGAAATTGAACACAGTATATGGGAATGTTGTTTTTAATAAAAAACATTTGCACAAAGCAAGCCGACCCACTTTTCCATGTTGATAAGAGCATTAAAATGAGGAAAAATAATGGGACAAAAATAAATCAAGATACACTTAGAATAGATAAAAATGTGCGATTAATTGTGATTAATCGCGAGTTAACTATGACATTAATGTGATTAATCGCGATTAAATATTTTAATCGTTTGACAGCACTAATATATATATATATATATATATGTATGTGTGTGTGACAGTTAGATTAAATTAACAGTTTAGCTTACAGTTTGATTTCCATTAATTACATTGCAGTTCTTAATAAAGTCCACATTGCAGTCCCTTATAGAGCTGTCCACTGACATTTTATTTACTTGCCAGTAAGTCATTTTTTTTTCATAGTTCATCTGATCTTCTAACCTGTTGCATCTCATGGATTATTTTCCGGAACATAATGTGTTGCATCACACCCTTTCAGTTTTATTCTTCTACATCGTGTGACGTTGTCTCTCTTAAATAAAGTGATAGCTATAGTGATTATAGCTTTTTCAAATCAAGCTGGATGACAAATGATGATGAGGATTTCAGTACACCTCCCACTCATGGCCAGCTGTCTCTAGGACCAGCATGAGCACAGGAAGAGATGAAGATAGAGAGGGAGGGGAAAAAACAACACTTATCCTGAGCCATTGGGTCTGGAGGGTTAATCCTCATGCCTACCCATCAGTTGTGCTTTTACCATGTGACGTCGGTCCGCCGCCATTGGCTCAAGCCAGCAAGAGAAGAAGGGGGGATAGGCGGCATCTGCTTAATTCGGTTATGTAAAGAGGACTTGTAATACACTCATATCATTGCTGCCTCTAGCTTTGTAATCATTAAGCATGGGGGAGGGAGTCGGGGGCTTCCCCTTGTTCCGCCTTTATGGATGTACATATACGGATAACCGTGCTGAGCTGGCGTCCAGTCATATTCAATAAGACATTATCGTACTTTGATCGTGAGCTAGGAAAACACTATCAACTGCGCTGACCATGTCATGTTTTGAACCCTGCTGAACCATCTCTCTTTCTCACTGTGATTGATTTACACATCAAAGTACACCAGCTGTCATCAGGTTGCCAAAAGCTTTTTTAGAAACAAGCTTCCAGGCCATGGCCTTCCTTTCTGGGAGATCCCCCCTCCCCCCTGGTCATTACTGCTGCTAATCTGAGGTGCAAACCTCTTTACAAAGTCAGAAATAGATCCACCAGTACTTCATATCATGAGCGCAGGGTCATTAGCTCAACTTAGAAAACCGGGTAGAGAAGAAAGAAAGAGCAAAGGAGGGAGAAAAAAAAAGACTTTCTAGAGTCTGCCATACAGGGGTGAAATTATTTCTGGTGGAAATGTCAACATTCAATCACATGGCCCGCACTGTAAAGACATCCAGATAACCTGTCACCTTTTATTAATAAGAACTTCCATCCAGAAAATAGCACCTGTCCTTCCCAACTGTTTCAAATTGATTTAGAAGCTGACCCCTTCAGATGCTCATCTGTTCCTGTCGACTTTCAATGCTATGTTTTTTGAAGCGTAGAAAAGCAGACCACTCACCAGTTGACCAGCATGGCAGCGTTGTTCTCTGCTATGAATGGGAGTTCTCCATAAACACTCCAAAAACTTAGCAGTAAAATCCACCACAGTCGCATGTTTGCAGCTCTCAGAAGATTCCCACCCAGCAGGGCACATCCAAGGCGCAATATCTGAAATGGGGCGCTGCCAGTTGTGCTTTCTTCCCTGTCATTGAAACAAAGGGGTGAGCGAGCCGAAGGGGATGCGACGAGCCCCTCGTGATGAGGACATCTTTGCCCCCAGGGCCTTCACGATGTTCAAACTTTTCCTTGACTTCCAAGGCTCAACAGCTTGTCGTGCTCTTCATCTGATCCACTTGATCTATCCCCTCTGATTCCGACTAGATTTAGCGTTTTCGCTGTGTTGTCTTCACTCTTCTTTTGTTCCCTCACTCTCTTTATGCGTGCTATATCCTAAACGCGGATGGCCTGGCCTGGCAGAATGGATGTAACTATTGAAAGAGCGAGAGACAGACATGTGACAGACAGTGCGTGTGTGTGTGTGTGTGTGTGAGAGAGAGAGAGAGCGAGAGAGAGAGAGAGAGAGAGAGAGAGAGAGAGAGAGAGAGAGAGAGAGAGAGAGAGAGAGAAGCCTACAGGATGCAGATTGTGACAAGGGATTAGTGGGACACAAAAATCCGATTTTGCCAGGAGAAAGCAGCAGTCATCAGTGGATTTTCTATAGTTTATCAGACTGTGTGGCTCAAAAGGATTTTTTTTTTTTTTTTTTTAAAAAGCTTCAAATTCAATCTTCGCTTGGTTAACAGGATATATAGTTTTTTCACTCTGTATTCTCTTTTCTATTCTAGTTAATGATTTAACTCACCATGTTCCAAAGCACAGTTTGACAGCTCTTAAGCACACCATAAATGTCACTTTTATTTAGATGATTCTATCCATTCCATACTAGTGATTTATGTAGTTTTTATTCATTTAAAGTGATTTATTATAGTAAGTTTGACTTAAACACAGTCAAATCATCTTTGTGGTCAGACATCACAGAAACTGTCCACTATTTGGTGCTAATGAGACCAACAACCAGGATGTCAAAGTGCTTCCCTAAAAGAATACTGACAGTAAAATTCCATAATCGCATCACTTCCCAATTGTTTTGATTTGTCTCATATTATTATTATGTCTCTATATTCCATTGGCTTGTGTATCACCACCTCTCTCTCTCTCTCTCTCTCTCTCTCTCTCTCTCTCTCTCTCTCTCTCTCTCTCTCTCTCTCTCTCTCTCTCTCTCTCTCTCTCTCTTTCTCTCTCTCTCGCTCTCTCTCTTTTTCTCATTTTCTTTTTAAACCTCTCAGCTGGTTTGCACTTATCCCCCCAAGAGTTTAATCACACTCTATCCCTCCCTCTCTTAGTCCCTTTGTTTCTTCTCTTACTTATTTTTCCATTACTGTTTTCGATTCTCATCCTTTCTCTCATTTCATTCTTCTTCTGTTTCATTGTTCCCCCTGCAGGTCAATACACAGTCATGATGGCCCATTTCTACCTGAAGAGGAAGATCGGTTACTTTGTGATTCAGACTTACATGCCCTGCTTCATGACTGTCATTCTGTCCCAAGTCTCATTCTGGCTCAACCGTGAATCTGTCCCTGCCAGGACTGTCTTCGGTTAGTGCTTCCTTCTACATTTTTTTTGTGGCAATTCAGATTTTATACAGATTTCTTTTTTAATCTACATCAATCGGTTCGCCCCTCATGGAAGCTGCCACGTTGAGATCACATTGAGATTTTGTAATTTAATATATATATATTTCTACATAGTTTTAATTTGTTTTTCTTTTTCTTTTTTGTTGTTGACATTTTAGTACTTCAACTTATTTAATTTAGGTTATAATTTTCAGTTTATAATTTTTTATAATTTATCATTTTAAATTAATGTTTACAATTTATAATCTGTTTTTAATATATATATATATATATATAGTTTAAGTTTTAGTTAACATTAACCTGCTGTTAGCCCTGCTGGTTGATGGTGTAAATTCACCATCTAATTCTTGATGCAAAAAGCATCTTTCTTTATTGAGAAATCCCAAATTAACCGTATAATGTTTATAGCTTAGGTGATTTGCTTGAAAAGTTGAGAAAATGCTAACGTTAATGCTAATAGCTTTCTCCAGTTATTATAGATCTCTAAGACTGATTTTGTTTGTTTGTTAATATTTCAGATTTTTTTAATTTTTTTTTTAAAGAAAGGTTTTATTCTTCACGGACCGGGCCTCCATCTAATAAGTGAATCCAAATATAGCCTTATAGTAGCTTATGTGATTTCTTAAAAATGAATGCTAAAGCTAATAGATTTTTCTAGTGATTTATAGATCTCTTACATAAAAACACACACTGATTGCACCTTTAAAAACTCATTAGTGTACTTCATAGCATCAGATATGTACTCCCCAAGGCCTGACTGTATGCAGAGCATCTTTTATAACTATGTTCCCTTTTCACTCTTCTAGCATATATGGATTCTTAGCTGTTGCTCCTTTTGGCCATCAGTTAATGTTTTGCTTACATCGATAATTCTCATCAAAATGGAAATCAGAATTGACTGATTCAATCAGAGGGAATGAAGAACTAATCCACTCAGATGACTGTTTCTGAATTCACACCGCCATTTCCATTTAATTCTGAGGCCTTGAATTGTATCTTGGCAATAATCAGCAATAATAAGCGAGCAGACAGTCCACAAGGAATATGTGCCCACGCAAACAACATCTCTATGACTGGCCAACAAAGGATACATCAAAACATAACACTTTCTCACACACTTATACAAATATCCATGAACAGAGGTTTAAAGACCCGCTCACTGATATCGCACATGTGACAGTATTTTATTTGCATAGCCCGAGGCTGAGAAATCCCAGAGCCGATGCCTAAGAGACTGTAGTACCATAGCTATTTATGTCTAAAAGTCTCTGTGTCCGCTGCCTGGGGCGATCTGCAGATCTCCCTCTGACAGGGACAGACACCTCTGCTCCTTCAGCAATTCTCCAGAACTATTCTCAGGTGCTTTGCATAAAGAATTATTAATGATACTGTCACTCTAAGGGCATGTTTGATATTAAAAAAGGTTATATTTGAACTGCATTGATGCTGTGTTTGACCTTTCATTGCTACCTATTGTACTTTTTTTTATAAACTGCATTTCTGGGAATGAAATTATCTTAATGTCAGTATTCCCCACTGGTTTGGTTTGTTTTGTTGTTAAGAGGAGTTTATGATTCATAAACCAATATTTTATTCATGCAAAGTATTTTAAAAATGAAAAGAATTATGTTGGATGAAAGACCAAATTTCCCTGTCACTGGTAGTGGCATTCACAAAATGAATGAAAAGATTTTGATGGATTACTGTTATATTTTTCAGCACACAAATAATTTTATTTTAGAAGGATTGCATTGCCTTGCATGAATAAGTTAGAGTTTAACACTTATACATTTAAAAAACATTTTTTTATAGTTTTACACCAATATATTTTAAAGAATACCTTTTTAAATTAAGCATGTTATTTATTTGACAAAGATGCAAACTTTAAGGATTTAGATTATATTCTATTATATTTTTTATTTACACTGGTTTGGCACAAAAGTTTGGCATAATTACAATTTTTTATGTTTTTGAAAGAAGTCTCATGCTCATCAAAACAGCATTTATTCAAAAATACAGTAAATACAGTAATACTGTGAAATATTATTACAATCAATTCTTTTTGCTTATTTCTGTGATGGCAAAGCTGAATTTTCAGCAGCCATTACTTCACAGGATTCTTCAGGAATAACTCTAATATGCTGATTTGGTGCTCAATCAAGAAATCTTTTTTAACATAAATGTCTATAAATTTAATGCGTTCTTGCTGAATAAATAAATTTATTTATTTATTTATTCAATATTATTTATTTATTTATATATTTAAACAAAAAAATCTTATCTCAATGGTATTATATCAGGGTTTCCTCAAAAATATTAAGCAGCAAAAACTGTTTTCAACAATGATTTTAATAAGAAATGTTTTTTTAAGCACCAAATCAGCATGTTAGAATGATTTCTGAAAGGATCATGTAACAATGAAGACCAGAGTAATGGCATAAGACACTTCTTTGAAAAACTTAAAAAAACACAATTGTTCCAAACTTTTTTTTTTTTTTTACCAGTATTTATTTTGCTTTAGAGAACTCTTATCTTATAATATTTTTAACATCTGTGTTTGATCCTCGACAGGTGTGACCACAGTGTTGACCATGACCACCCTCAGCATCAGCGCACGCAACTCTCTTCCCAAAGTGGCGTATGCCACCGCCATGGATTGGTTCATCGCCGTTTGCTATGCCTTTGTGTTTTCAGCGCTTATTGAGTTTGCCACAGTAAACTACTTTACCAAACGCAGCTGGGCATGGGATGGAAAGAAGGCATTGGAGGCCCAGCAGCCTAAAGTATGTTAATATGTGTTTGAGTGTTTGTGCATATGTGATGTTCAACTCTCAGAAAGTGTATTTTTTGAGTGCAATTGCATAACATGTCAGTTCAATTCTGTTTGACGTGAAGGTTGCAATACATTGCATCCCTCAAAACGGTTATATAATGTGCTTTTTCTAATTGTTTCGAGACACACAAACAGCTAGAGAGTGCTCAGTGACAACATTTCAGAGAGTGACACTAACTCATATCAGCGGCTTTATTAGATGTGCTGCATTTGTGTTAGCTCCTGATGATGAATGTCACATTTTGAAATTCCACAGGATGAATTTTTAGCCTTTATCCAGAATGCCCTTCAGACCAGCCACTTCATTGAAATTTTTGAGAGCTGCTTGTTTGATGTACATGTAAATGCCAGGTTTCCCCTTATGCAAGATCCATTTTCACCCAGGTGGTAATTTTTCATTCACACTGAACAAACAGAATTCAAAGAGCGGTCAGTGCACATGTCACTGTGGTGAGTGTGTTAGTAAAGGCTCTACAGTTAGACCTCTGAAGGTCAGATTTGGACCTCCAGCACAGCTTTCTTAAATGTCACCCTCAGTTTTTTTTTATCAAACACCAGCTTATTCCTCCTCTCCTGCTGAGGAGTCTTTCTAAAAGCCCAAAACCACTGCTGTGGGGTCCTTCTTTAGGCTAGAGCAGTAAGTGATGTAGACAAAAGACTGTTTATTATTGGCATTATAGTTTATATTTATATAGATTTGATCAAAAATACAGTAAAAACAGTAATTTTGTGAAAAATTATTACAATTTAAAATAACTTTTTATTTTCTGTGTTAATACATTTTAAAATGTAATTTATTTTCTGTGATGGCAAAGCTGAATTTGAATCAGCCATTACATAGTCTTCAGTGTCCTTTTACATTTTACACCCTCATGTAACCACACGCAGCAAATGCTTTAGAAAGTGCTGTGTCCTCGTTTTATGACACCTGAGGACACCCATGATCTTTGCGTTGTTTGCTTGGGAGCGGAGCATGCATGTTCAGCACACGAGGGGGCTGGATGCGTTTACTGTGACAAACTTCGCTCATGCTTGGCCCTCTTGTCAAGGGATGAGGGACAATCTAGACCCGAAATTCTTATCAAGCCGTAGACCTATTTCAAATGTATGTTTTATTTCAAAAGCCTTAAGTTAGAGATGGTTGTTTTAGTACAATTGCAGAGTTTGTTTTAGAGTCAAATAATATTTTTGAAAATATTTAATCTGGGTTCAGGAAACATCATAGTACCGAGTCTACACTTTTAAAAGTTCTAAATGATATTTTGTTATCTGTAGACTCAGGGGACTCAGTGATGCTTCTACTCTTAGATTTGACCACAAAATCCTTATCTCACGCCCTGAACTGTATGTGGGTATTAAATGTTGAGCTCTGGACTGGTTTAAATCCTATCTTCATGATAGATCTTTCTCTGCTTGTCTCAATGGTTTTTCTTCATCTAGATGTGCCTTGAATTTTGGACTTCCTCAAGGCTCCATTTTGGCTCCTGTTTTGTTCTCACTATAAATGCTTCCTTTGGGGTTAATTTTTACCAAGCATGGGTTGTCAATTCATTTCTCTGCTGATGACACCCACATTTATCTACCCTTGAAGCATAATGATAAAACAGGCTTAAGATCCTCAGTTGCTTGTCTGTCTGACATTAAGTTTTTTCTTGGTTTTCTTAAAAATGTTTGCATCTCAATGAGAACAAAACAGAGGTCATGGTTTTTGAGCCTTCAAGCACCCTCAAGCACTTCAGGCATCTGAGTCTTTAGCCATTTTCAAAAAATGTCTAAAGACACCTTTTTCGCCAGCACCTGACCAATTAACACTAGCACTTGCCTATTCTATTTGTTTTTCTGATAAAAAAAAACAACAACCTTGCGATCTTTTAACTACTAGACTAACTGAGACTTGTTACAGCACTTGTATACTGTTGCCCTCTTGCTGGTCTGATTACTTCTATTGTTCTCCTCGGTTGTAAGTCGCTTTGGATAAAAGCGTCTGCTAAATGATTAAATGTAAAAGATTATGATTTGGGAGACTTGATCTCCTATGTAAAACCTTCTATGAAAAATCTCATGAAAAGTCATTTTCGATTCTGCACTCAAATTTGATAAAGAGATAGATTCTGTAGTTAAATCTAGTTTTTTTTTTAATTAAGATTGCTATCTAAAGCTAAGACTAGAGCTTTTTATCCTTTCCAGAGTTTTAGAGAGTGATCCATGCATTTGTGTCATCTCGGCTTGATTTATTGTAATTCTCTTTATATTGGAATAAGTCAATCTAATATAAATCGACTTCAGATGGTGTAAAATGCAGCTGCCAGACTCTTGACTTGCACCCTGAAGTTTGATCATATCACCCCTGTATTGTGCTCTTTGCATTGGCTGCCGGTCTGTTACAGAATTGATTTTAAAATTTGACTTGTACTTTTGTTTTTAAAGCTCTGACCGGATCAGCTCCAAAATATCTCTGTATTATAAAATTATATAAATCCAAATACATCTGTTAGATCCAGTGTTGGGCAAGCTACTTGGAAAATGTAGTAAGCTAAGCTAGCAGTTACTCTACATGAAATGAAGCTTCACTACACTGAAGCTACCACCTTGGGAAATGTAGCAAGCTAAGCTACAGCAATATGGCAAAAGTAGTTTACTACATCTAAGCTATTTTCTTTAATTAAATTTTTATATTGAACCAACTTCATTCCAAGTCAATGCTGTCTCATTGATCAATACAACTGACACATTATGCCTGCCTATCTGTTTGACTGACAGTTTAATTGTTTATTCAACAACTGTTCCAAACCAATTTGGCAACAAACAAAAAAAATTAAACCATAACTATATAAAACCATATAACTATAATAACTTCAATAAAACCAGATGTCGAGAGTTTGTGCATCTTTCCATCTTTCCAAGTTTCTCACGTGTCAGCCCAAGGATTGGTACATGATGTCACCGCCCGGAGCTGAAGGTGGTGGTAATGCACCAAAAAGCTGGTTGTAGGGCACTATGAAATCCGTTTTATTTTTTCCCACATTCCATTTAATTTTTTTTCAAATCAATTTTTTTCTGTAAATTTTTTTCTGTATTCTGTTTTTTTTTTCGTTAACATTTTTGTGGGCTCCCATTTTAATGGTTAAATTACATTTTAGTAATCAAAAAGCATGTCTAATTGAAATCATGAAACTTATACAATTTAACAATAATTTATTACAATTTTAAAATAAATTACATGTTTAGGGCACTGTGTCACAAACTGCTCTGAGACACAAAGGTTGAGGATCCAAATGCAGTTTATTTGAGTAATCCAGAATCGTAGTCAAAAACAGGCAAAGGTCATAAACACCGGGCAATCAGTCTAAACAATAACAAACACAACAAGGGAGAAACCAGGGAGAATGCTCGGAATTGCAGTGTAAAGGCCTGTTCACACCGGGACGAATTTCGCGCGCGATATTCGCCGACGTTTAACGCCTCGTGACTAAACAAAGGGCGCCAATGTGAGTGTGCACACTGACACGAAAAACGCCACGGGTAAAAGCGTCACTTTTTAAAAAACGCCTTGGGTTCGTTATTTTTGGGTTTGACGCGCCGCGTCAAAAACTATCCGACCAATGAGATTGGCGCTTTTGCTCACGTGTCTGGAGCTTCTGAAGTTACAGTAAAACACATTTTGGGGACGCTCAAACACAAAACGGTCTTGCCGAGCACACATACGTAACGGCGAAGAAGATATACGCCAAGTAGCGTCTACACTGCCGAGGAGAAATAAGACGAGGAAGATGCAAGGCAAGATGAATGTAGAGCTGCTGGTCTCATTGGTGTCGGAACATAAAGAACTATATGACAAACGGGACAGCGACTACAACATAGGACTATTTCTGTTTTACATTAGGCGCCATCTAATATCAGGGAATGAATTGGCATGTTCACTCGGCTCATCGTCAGCAAAAATCGCTTGGGTGTGAACACAAAAAACGTGTTAAAAAACGCGTTGAAAAACGCTGGCGAATTAACGCGCGCCGATATTCGTCCCGGTGTGTACGAGCCTTAACACTAAACAAGACTTCGCAGATAGTGAATGAGAAAACAAGGCTTATATGGGGTGAGCTAAACAAGATAATGAGACACAGGTGAATGTGATAATGGATGAAGAGGTCCGGGCAGTGAGATATGGAAAATTTAGTTTGTGAGGGAAGGACAATAGTCTGATGTGGAGTGCCCTTTGTTACACTATGAAATATGATTTTTTGGCCCTATGGTTGAAGCGGTAAAATGCTGCTGAACTGATTCTCTTAGAGCGGCTGTGTAGATGAAGTTCATGCATTCATGTCCTCATATAGGCTGAAAACATCGCGAGCGTCATGCGTGCCTCAGTGTGTGTGTGTGTGTGTGTGTGTGTGTGTGTGTGTGTGTGGTAAATGAAACTGCGCTTCTGCGCCATTCATTCACAGAGAAACGCATAACATGCATGATTCCTATTTAAATAGTCTTTATGCGGTTTAATATTCACAGACACTAGTCTATATCACGATTTTTTTTAAAGGTTCTCTAAGCGATCCTGGGTGACGTCACTTCTTGTTGACGTTCGAACTATTGTCAAACAAAACGGAGGCTAGCTAGACCCTCCCTCCTCCTCATCCGCACACTAACCCCCCAAACCTCACCCCCAAACCCTTCTTGTCGGTCATTGGCTGGAACAGTTTGTTATGTTTCGGGGAGCGGGTCGCCGCAGTTTGCTTTTGTTGCTGTTTGTGGAGCCTGGGGTGTCTGCAGAGATCGCGTTTCTTTACAGTGTGTTCAGGGGACAGGCAGCCAGCGGATAGTGAGGAGATGTTTGCTGTATGTGACAAAAAATGTTTTGGCCTAAAAAACACGTGACATCGCTTAGAGCACCTTTAAGTTTACTGACCTACTTTTCATCAACGATCTAACAAATTCTGTGAAATTCGCAGTTATACA